TGCGGGGGCCCCCTCCGAGTGCGCGGGGAGCAGCCCCGGGCAGGGCTGGATCAGGCCCGGAAATCCCAGCCTGCCCAGTGGGATCGGGGCTGCGGTGCTGGGCAGGATGCGGAGCAAGGACGAGGAGTACGATTACCTCTTCAAAGGTGGGTCTCCCGCGCTGGCCATGCTTGCAATGAGCTGAGCCCGGTCTCAGCCCACACGCAGTGCCCTTGGGATGGAGCTGGAAACCGGGACTGTGGCTTGTACCGGGATATAACGCACAGGTTTCCCAGGGCTGGGGACCTGGGGGGGCTTGTTGGGGTGCTGGGCACAGGGAAGGTGCGTGATGGTGTTACTGGGGTGGAGGATGCTGTTTGTGGTCCTTGTGCTAAGGGCCTCGGTGCTGCTGGAGGGGCTCAGAGTAGATGAGCATTGGCCCTGGCCATGGCTGCTCATTGGAACCTTCCTTGGGGCTCCTGCCCGGAGCTCCAGGCTCTTTCCATCCCCACCTCTGAGCTGGGACGGGATGTGCCAGGGATGCGATGCTCAGAGGCAGCAAGACCCGACTGTGCCGAGTGCTTTAGTGCACAGGGTGGAGGATGCTGCTTGAGCCCTCCTTGTCCTTCTTGTCCTTTCTTTCTCTGTGAGAACCCCCCTGCATCCTGCTCCCAAGCTGGCTCCCACAGGGGTGTCCCTGCATCCGTCTGCTCCCGGGAATGCTCAGAATCATCAGCGAGGGCATTGAGAAATAACTAAAGAACGTCAAAATCCAACCCCTTTGAGTCATAAACTCAACAAACTCGATGGGGGAGCTGTGAGATAAAGCTTCCCAGAGCCTGTCACACCAGGCTCCACAGGGACCAGCCAGGGAAGAGGAGGAGGAGAAGGAGGAGGAGGAAGATGGTTCCTTTCAGACTAGGTCTCTTGTGCACCCTCAGGGTTGGAGCTTGGGCTGGAAAGAGGAGACCCAGTTGTGCTTGGCCTCCCCAAACTGGCTGCCTCCACATAGGTCCTGGCTCTGCTTTCCCACTCATTTTATATATATGGAGCTGGGAAGGAAACTCCTGGCAACATCCAGGAGATGCAGGAATGTTCTTGAGGGGTATTTTCAGGTAGTTGTGGTGGGTGTCCGGGGGGGCTGACCCTGTGCTGGGGTTCCAATGCCTTTGGTGGGTGTCCAGGGGGGCTGACCCTGTGCTTGTGCCCCCCAGTTGTGCTCATTGGGGACTCTGGGGTGGGGAAGAGCAACCTCCTCTCACGCTTCACCCGCAACGAGTTCAACCTGGAGAGCAAGAGCACCATCGGCGTGGAGTTTGCCACGAGGAGCATCCAAGTGGACAACAAGACGGTGAAGGCTCAGATCTGGGACACGGCCGGGCAGGAGCGGTACCGCGCCATCACCTCGGCGTGAGTCCCCTTGTTCCTCACCTCGTGTCGCCCAGGCAGGGCCCTGCTGTGACCTGTCCCCTCGCTGTGCCCCAGGTACTACCGCGGGGCAGTGGGGGCTCTGCTCGTCTACGACATCGCCAAGTACCTGACGTACGAGAACGCGGAGCGGTGGCTGAAGGAGCTGCAGGACCACGCGGATGCCAACATCGTCATCATGCTGGTGGGCAACAAGAGCGACCTGCGGCACCTCCGCGCCGTGCCCACCGATGAGGCCAGGAGCTTTGCAGGTACCTCGTCCCCATCCTGCCGAGTCCCGTCTCCATCCCGGAGCTGTAGCTCATGGCCCCGGCGTGAGCTTGCCCTTGTCCTTGCAGAGAAGAATGGGTTGTCCTTCCTGGAGACGTCTGCTCTGGACTCCACCAACGTGGAGACGGCTTTTCACAACATCCTCACGGGTAAGGGAATGGCTTTGGACACCGTGTTCTCCCAGGACCCTGCTGCGGCTGGATCCTGTTCCCTTGGGTGGGGAGATGTGGGCATTTGCTCCCCTGGAGCTGTGTGTTTTGGGGGTCCCCCACTCAAATCCTCACTTCAAGCCCCTGTTGTTCCCCTCCTCTCTCCTCTGCTGGCAGAAATCTACCGCATCGTGTCCCAGAGGCAGATCCCGGGGCAGCCGGAGCCCGAGTTCAGCCCCAGCACCACCATCGAGCCCATCCGGGTGCTGCCCACCCAGCAGGAGGGCAGGCAGGGACCCTGCTGCCAGAACATCTGAGCACCCCCAAACCACCCACCATGTGATGGCATCACCTTTATCTCCCTCTACCTCTGTTTGCTGCAGCCCCCCCCCGGAACACAATGGCTGCTTCTGCATCACTGCCCTTACCTGCACCATCGCGCTGCCCGTGTGCTGCTCACCCTGTGTTTATGTAGGACCTACACAAATAGCTGGGGGAAAACCCCATCAGGGTCTCTCCCTTCTCTCTGCATTGTTTGGGACATGCCACCAGTTTGTGTCCCCGCTTCCTCCAGCCCTGAAGGCACAGCCCTGGGGTGACTCAGGGTGGCACTGAGTAAGCCCAAACATCTCCGCATTGCTGCGGCACCCCTGGGTGCAGCCCTTCAGGGCAGGGTGTGGAGAGGGACACTGGGTGCACCCTTCTTCGGGTTGCACCCAGCCCTGCCCCTTCAGCACCAAGGGCTGGGTGAGCCTCTGGGTGCTGGTGGGGCAGCCGTGGGACACCCTGGTGAGGGCAGGTGGGGATGGGACAAGGGGTAATGGCTTTAACCTGCCAGAGGGGACCCTGAGATGAGCTCTGAGGTGGTTCTGCCCGGCTCTGGAGGGACCTGGGGACATGTCCTTTGGGGGAGCCCCAAGGGGGTGACAAGGGGGTGCTGTGGGTGGGCATGGGGTCCCCCTGCATGGCCGGAGCCAGCACATGGGACCCTTCAGCTCTGGCTGCCAGGAGGCACGATCCTGCCCCACTCCGCTGTTGTCACTTGTGGGGCTGGTGACAGTGTGGCCCAGCCTGGCTGCCACTAGATGGAGCGGGTGCTGCACCCATGGGTGCCAGCGGCCATGGCCCGAGCTGCTGGGACAGACTGGGCTGTCCCCATTCCCCCCAGCGCTGGGTGCTTGTCCCCACCCCAGCGCGGTGTCCGGGGGTCTCTGTCTCTCCGTGCCTGCCCCCACCATGCAACTGGCTGTGCCCGGGGCTGGGATTCATCCCTGCAACAGGAATCGGGGCAAAATCCCCCGATGACGTTGCCGCTGGAGGCTCCTTCTCTCTCCGCAGGGTCCCTCCCGCCCCGTTG